TCACAGTAGGGTTGTAGTGCGCGGGCTCTACTTTTTGTATACAACCTCAGATTAAGATGATTTTTATATCAAAATCGATTGTTTCGATGAGACATATGAGACCATCTTGGAGGCGTAATAGGCCAAACAATAGTCTGAATACTTCGAGCACAACTTCGGACCTCGAGATGAGACCGTATGACGATGATCCAACTTCAAAGATGTTCATGTCCACAATACGGAACTTTTTCATGTAGAGCACTTATTCATTAGAACCCATCTTAATAATGTTTTCTTCCGTGCCAAAAACTTGTGTCAACAGGGACAGAGTTATATAGTTAGGAAAATTTTGTAAAAAGTATGTAAACTTCCGTGTGTGTAGTGTTATTGGCGGTAGATAGGGTTGGGAGGAAAAGCAAACAGTACTAAATTTAAACCAACTGAACACCGAAGGGGAGTTGTATTCTTGACAAGTTTTTATTATCGATCGAAGGGGTAAACACATATACATCGGGAAATGCTACAAGGGCGTGTTTGGTTGCGTGCAGCCATTGGGGCAGGATGTATGAGGAAAACGAGCCACACTGAGCATGGCTTTGTTGAGAAAAAAATAATGCAAAAAATGATGTAGTCATGTTCTTTGATTGTCTGCATGGTGGTTGGTGGGATTTTGGTTGCATGCAGGCATGCATCTTTGGTAGGGGCTGCTTCCGGGTGCACTGTGAGAGGATTGCAACCTGGCACAGAAAAGGAGAGAATCTTTCTCACCTCATGGTCCGCGCAAACCTGCATGAACTGTCAATTTGGACGTTCCTCCTCAGTGTGGCCCTGAAGTGTTTTAAACACCGTGTGATGCAAAGAATTAATGCGAGACAAGCAACCAAACACCAGGCGAAATAAAAGATGGGAGATACCCTTCATATACAGTCTACCAACCACCATGCAGGTAAGCAAACACGCCCTAAATCACCCGCGAAATGCAGCTTCGCATCCATCGCCTTTATGCACTCCGCATGGCATGGCCATCACCTCTAATTTTTACAACCGGCCCGTTATCTATATCTATATCTACTAATAAAGCAAGGTGCGCTTCGCGAATTTTTTAATCCGTTCATCACCGAAAAGAATTTTTTCTATCTGAGGTGGTCCTAAATTCTTATGCATTTGTCTGCTAGAAAAAAAAAACGTACGTGGGCCACGCGCTGTGGCCCAGCAAAGCCAGCACACGCACTAGGCGACAAATAGTCAGAGTTTCGCACAGGACAACAAACAATGGGTAGGCCCATTTTTCTTTCTTTTTCTGTGTTTTACTTCTATTTTTATTCTCCTTTCCCTTGCCTTCCAAGTATATTTAAAAAAATATTCGGAACTTGCAAAAAGTTGCCCCCTTTTTTAAAAAGATATTGTTTTTCAATTCGGGATTCTAAAAATAAAATGGTATTTCAAAAAATGCTCCAAATTCTAAAAATATTCATGTTTTAGTGAAATTTTCAAAATTAAAAATAATGTTCGTGTATAAAAAATACACATTTTCTAAAAATATTATGAATTTTCAACACATGTTCCCGTTTAAAAAAATGTTCATAAATTCAAATAATGTTCATGTTTTTATAAAAAGGTTGGTGTTTTTAGAAAATGTTACGAATTTTAATAGATGTTCCCTTTCATATTTTGTTCCCATTTTTTCAAAAGTGTAGATAATTTTCAAAAAATTGCTCAAGATTTAAAAAAATGTTCATGTTTTCTAGACTGTTCAAAAAATTCATATCTTAAAATCCTCTTGATTAAAAGAATCGAAAGGAAGAGTAGATTGAATAACTCATGAGCCTTCTCTGGTGTACGATGACGTAACAAAACTGTTAAATGCTCTCGATCAATGAATGGAAAAATAGCGGATTGATTCCTGCACACGCAGCAAAACCGAGAAGCTAAATGTTCCTTTTTCATGTGCACACAGGGTTTTGCTTGCACATATAATTCTCACTGACTTTAAATGCATACATTTTATCTTCCCCTGCAACGCACAGGCATATGTGCTATACCCCTACTAATAAAGAAAGGTGTGTTTCACCAATTTTTTATACATTCACCACCGAAAAGAAATATTTTTCTATCTGAGGTGGTACTAAATTGGGTGGACCCTATTTGACGCCTGCGAGCGTCCAGGAGGAGTGGCTTCGCTGAAGCGCTCGACCAGCAGCGCGCGACGGGCCGGCCCACCTCGGGAATTAAAGCGTTGGCAAGCAAACCGGTTTAGGGAACTAGAACGTGCCCTAAACCGGATTTTTTATACTCTTTGCCGATTTTATGATTTTTCTTGTTTCTTTATTCTTTATTGTTTCTGTTTTTTAAATTCTGTTTCTGTTTCTGTTTCTTTTTCTTTTTATTTTTATTTATCCTTTTTGTATTTATTTTCATCATTTGTTTTTGAAAAATTTAAAATTCCTTATTTTCTTCATGATTTCATAAAAATCACAAATGTTTTATAATTTTGTTCACAATTCAAAATGTGTTCAGCGTACATTACAGAAATGTTCAATGTATATTTTAAATTTGTTCGGGATATTTCACAAAAATGTGCAATATTTATTTTAAAATTGTTCAGCGTACATTACATAAATGTTCAATGTATATTTTAAATTTGTTCGGGATATATCACAAAAATGTTCAGTATATATTTAAAAATTGTTCAGCGTATGTTACAAAAATGTTCAATGTATATTTTAAAAAATTATTTTCAACTTTTTCAGTAATTGTTCATGTTTGAAAAGTTTGTTCAAATTTTAAAAATTGTTGATGGTTTTGAAAAGGGTTTCACATTTGTCACCTTTTCTATTTTTGTTCTCGATTTTCTTGAGTTGTTCGAAAAATTTCAAAAGTTGTTCTATACGTTAAAACCTCGCGCTGCTTCCAAACCAGTAGAAGTTATTAGCTTAACTGGTTAGGTTCTTGAGTTCCCGAGTGGGACGTCATGGGTTCGATCTCCTGCTGGTGCGGTTTGTTTTTGGCGTTTATTTTCACGCTTAACTGGTCATGGATGCTCAGTCGAGGAATCGAACGCGCGATCAACGATAGACTATAAGTTTTCTTTACCAGTTGAGCTCACCAATACTAGTGATTAATTGGGTGCGAGAGTGTTTAAGAACTGAGCGCAGTGACAGATAAAATAAATACATAAATTCAACCATTGAACATCTTTTTAATATACGATGAACATTTTTGCAATATATACTGGAATTTTTCTAAGTAGGCATTGAGCACTTGTGTGATATACGCTGAACATTTTTCAAGTATACAGTGATCATTTTCTTAATATGCCGTGAACATTTTGTTAAATGTACGATGAACATTTTTGTAATACACGATGAACATTTTGTTAAATGTACGATGAACATTTTTGTAATACACGATGAACATTTTCGTAATGCATAGTGAACTTTTCATAATGTACGGTGAACCATTTTTTTAATATACGATGAGCATTTTTTGTAATAGGAGGTGAACTTTTTATATAACACACAGTAAAGAGAAGAAGAAAAGAAAAAACCACAGAAAACCACCGAGAACCGGACAAACACTGAAAAAAGGGGAAGCAAAAAACCACAGAAAAGAAAACGAAAAAAGAACGCAGGAAACAGCAAAGGAAGCTGTAGCTAAAGAAAAAAAAACGCGAACCCCGTACATGGGCCGGCCAAACCGGCGGCTCGCCTCAGCGAAAGCGCGACCTTTTGACGCTAACGAGCGTCAAATAGGTTCTGCCACTAAATTGTTATGCATTTGTCTACTAGAAAAAGAATTTTTGTCCGTGGGCCGCGCTGTGGCCCAGCAAAGCCAGCCCACTTATTTAATAGTCAGAGTTTCGCATAGGACAACCAACACATTTTTCTTTTTTTGTATTTAAATTCTATTTTTAATCTCCTTTCCCTATCTCCTTTTCCCCTTCCAAGTTTATTTTTCTTTTAGAATTTATTTTGTAAATATTAAATTCTAAAAAAAACGTTCAAAATTTAAAAAAACAAATTTTAGAAAATTTTAAGAATTCCAAAATTTTGTTGCTATTTTGCTAAATATTCGGAACTTGTAAAAAGTAGCCCATTGTTTTTTAAAAACAATTGTTTTTCAAAATTATTTGGGATTTCTAAAAAGAAAATAGCACTTAGAAAATGCTCCAAATTTGAAAAGTATTCATATTTTAGTGAAAATTTCAAAATTAAAAATAATGTCCGTGTTTAAAAGATACATATTTTATAAAAATCTTATGAATTTTCAACACATGTTACCGTTTTAAAAAAATGTGCAGAAATTAAGATAATGTTCATGTTTTTATTAAAAAGTTGGTGTTTCTAGAAAATGTTTGTGAATTTTAAGAAGTGTTCCCTTTCATATTTTGTTCGCGTTTTTTCGAAAGTGTACACAATTTTCAAAAAACTGTTCAGGAATTAAAAAATTGTTCATGTTTCCTATAATATTCAGAAACTTCATAACTTAAAATCCCTCGATTGAAAGGATTGAAAGGAAGAGTAGATTGAATAACTCATGGCCCTTCTCTGCGTGCAATGACGTAACAAAACTCTTAAATGCCCTCGATTAATGAATGAAAAAATAGCGGATTGATTTCTTCACACGTGACGAAACCGAAAAACTAAATGTTATTTTTTCGTGTGCACACAGAGTTTTGCTTGCACATATAATTCCCATTGATTTTAAATGCATATTATTTTATCTCCGTTGCAACGCACGGGCATATGTTCCAGCTACAACCTGTGTACATATCGTGCACAAAAGAACCGGTTTTGAACTCCGGTGTACGGGATAGATACGAGGTGTTGAACAAATCTTGTTCCGTTGTTCGTATCATCGACTCCGCGTAGGCAAGCCGGTTTCCTGGCAAGTACTGCAGTGCTACCCTCTCTCGGAGATTAGATTCGCCGGTAAACAAACCGCGTAGCTATCACCAGCCGGTTGTAAAAGGGGATTAGAAAACCCTGTGCCCGCGATCCGATCCCTCCATCGTCGCCGCCATGAAGACCTGCACCATCGTTGGCAGAGTGCAGGCCAAGGGGCACCACTTCGTGAGAATCGACGGATACTCCCACACAAAGGCGATGATGGCCACCGGCGACCACGTCCTGTCCTGCGGCTTCCCCATCGGCGGCCGCATCTGGCGCGTCAAGTACTATCCCAACGGCTCCGCCAAGGAGCATGCCGACTGGATCTCCGTCAGCCTTCTCGTCGACCCCGACACCAAGGCAGCCGCCGTGAAGGCGCGCTTCCGCTTCAGCCTTCTTGACACTGGCGGCGAGCCGGTGCCGGAATACGTCACCAGCAGCAGCGAGATACGAACGTTTCCGTCGCCGGGACCTAAAGCCGGGGGGTGGGCCTTCCCCCGCTTCGTCAAGCGACTCGACCTGGAGAACTCGGCGCACCTGAAGGACGACGGCTTCGCCATCCGGTGCGACGTCGATGTCATGAGCGACCTGGGCCTGCACGTGGAGGAGACGTTCCTCGACGTGCCGGAGCCCGACCTGCGCGTCCACCTCGCCCGCCTCCTTCGCACCAAGGACGGCGCCGACGTGGCGTTCAAGGTCGGCGACGAGACGTTCGGTGCACACAGGTGCATGCTCGCGGCACGGTCTCCGGTCTTCAAGGCGGAGATCTCCGGCCACAAGGCTGATACGTGCGTCAACATCGACGGTATGGATGCTCCGGCGTTCCAGGCTTTGCTCCACTTCATATACACGGACTCCTTGCCGGACATGGCCGGGCAAGACGTGCCTGCCGTGGTACGGCAGTTAAGTGCGGCGGCGGACAGATATCAAGTGGCAAGGCTAAAGTTGGTCTGCGAGGACAAGCTAAACAAAACCACGGCGACCGTGGATCAGCGACAGCGGCATCACCGCCACCGGTGGTTCATGGGGACGTGCTTGGAGTTTGTGAATTCGCTTCACCCTCGACGCCAACAACCACAACATTCTCTCCCGTCGACGGCGACGCCGAGCTCCACGCCGTCCGCCTCGGCCATTGCCGTCTCCGAGACGAGCGGGCACCACGTGCTCAAGATCGAAGGCTACTCGCGGACGAAGATGATGCTCCAAAGGGGACAGCATGTCGCCTCCGGAGAGTTCCAGGTTGGAGGCCACACATGGCGCATCAAGTACTACCCCAACGGCTGCGACCAGGGCAGCGCAGGTTACATATCCATGCACCTCGAATGCACGATGGTCGCCACGGGCGTCGACGTCGTGCATGCAAAAGTCAAGCTCAGCTTGCCCGGTCACGCCACGGAGTATTTTCCGTTGTGTGCTTTCACCAAAGACGAGTGCACTTTCACCAAGCACGACACTTCCCTCAGCTTCGACAGATTCGTCAAGAGGTCCGAGCTGGAGAGCTCAAGCTATCTCAGGGATGACTGCTTCAACGTCCGGTGCGACCTCGCCGTCTTCATGAACGAGGTGCGCGTGGAGCCGGCGGTGGTGGTGCCGCCGCCCGCCCTGCCCCGGCACCTTTCCCAGATGCTTTCCTATCAGGAGGGGAGCGACGTGTCGTTCAAGGTTGGCCGCGAGACATTCGCGGCGCACCGGTGCATCCTTGCTGCCCGGTCACCGGTCTTCAAGGCAGAGCTCGTCGGCCCCATGAAGGAGAACAAGATGAGGTTCGTGCACATCGAGGACATGGACGCGGCCGTGTTCCAGGCACTGCTCCACTTCATCTACACCGACGAGCTGCCCACCACGACCAGGAAAGAAGCGACAGCCATGGCCCAGCACCTGCTCGTCGCGGCAGACAGATACGACATGGAGAGGCTAAAGCTTGTCTGCCAAGACAAGCTGTGCAGGCACCTCGACGCGGCCACCGCGGCGACGACCCTGGCACTGGCCGAGCAGCACCAGTACCCGCGGCTCAAGGAGGCCGTCTTCGCGTTTCTCTGCAGCTCGCCTGCCAACTTGAGAGCAGTCTTAGCGAGCGATGGTTACGAGCATCTGACTGCGAGTTGCCCCTCCATTACCAAGGAGCTTGTCGCCAGGCTCGCAGCAACCCTCTAGGTAGACCTATACGAGATATCAAGTAGACGTTGTGTTACTTTGAGGGTGTGTTTTGTTGTAGGTTCCTGCCTATGTTGTCTTGCCAAATTTTTACATAAAAGTTGGCTTGTCGTTTTTATGTTGATGTCTGGGCGCAAGTCGCACGACCGGTGAATTATATGGTCCACAGTCAGAGAGTTCGTGATAGAACTGTGAAGATACTGACACGAGCAAAGGTCCAATACGGATGGTCTAAGGTTTTTCTTTTATATAAACTTATTTGTTTGGCCTCAATGCTTGGCATCAATGGATGCAGAGTTCAGGGTTAGCCACATTTTCGCAAGGAAAACAAAAGAACCCCAGTAGCCAGCGAACGTTCGCCGTGGGACATGGTAATTGCGAACATTTTGCATGACGACTTCTTCGCAGAACACATGACAACATCTGACAAACAAAGGATTTTGTGCAGAAATTGTTGTGTTTGCTTCAAAGAATTGCCATACTCTCAAGTCTCAGCATATGCAGGAACTGGTCATGGGTCTGCCCGAAACCGATATTCCAGCGAACACATCGAAGCATACTGTTCGATACAATCCTAGGGAAAGTTTATGCCAAGGGACGAGCCACAAACCTGCAGTCTGCTCCTGCCGGTCTGGCGCGGTGTCACTCCATCAAGCTTTGATGTGAAACTCCATCTCAGGTACGCCTGGCAGGCATGAGAAGATTAAAAACAACGGAAACACTAACGCCAACAGTGTGGACGTTATTCAATTCGTCCACACGCCTTGATCGTCGTCCAGTGCCTTTTGCACGAATCTTGACACGAAAAGGTTGATTTTGTGTGCCACGTAGGACGGGGCTGGTGTGTGGGTGTTGGAGAGTTTGCCCACACGCTAGCATCATGCTGCTTTGCCAGCTGCGCTATGTGGGCGAACTAGTTTCTACCCACACAATCAGCCACCTAGTTCATGCGCATGCGGGCGAACTACTTTTCGCCCACACAAAACTCCGAAGTTGTGGATGACAACTGCAGTTAGACGAACGTGGCAACTAGGTAAACACACATGGCAACTGTGATTTTTTGCTAGACGGCAATTGCAGTTACGCGTACGTGGCAACTAGATAAACACACATGGCAACTATGGTTGGACCACACATGCCAACTACTGTTTGACCATATGTGGCAAGTAGTTAATCACACACGGCAACTACGGTTTGATTACACGCGGCAACTAGCATAAATTAGCTGTAAATTAGACATGACAACTATAGTTAACCAAAACAGATAGAGTTGCCATGCTTTTATAACTACACTTGCCATCCCGGATAACTACATCTGCCAACCAGGATGGCAACTACGCGGTGTACCTAACGTAGTTGCGTCAGGACGTGTGACCATTTTTGCTTCGTGCCACACGCGGGGGATGGAGATGAGTAGTACTTGTTGATGTGTGGCACGAAGTAGCCGCGCCTACACGTGTGGGCAATTCTAATATCCGCCCACACACAGCCCATGTGGGCTGCCTCCTGCTCACACCACACACGCTGTGTGGGCGCATACCGAATATACCACACGTGTGGCAGTTATCGGCGTCCAAAAACAAATAACTGATTTATACCTATTCAAAGCAAAGTACGCTAGATATTCTCTTCCATAGAAAGTAAAATTCCTGCTATGGAAGAGGAGCCAACAGTGGATGCTGGATTCATAGAAACGGACTGCAAAATCAAGCGAATGTTGGAGACCATTCAACCCACAAAATTTAATTCCACACACCAAGATTTCAGTTTAACTCGAGCTGTGAAACTCAGTTTCAAATTTGGGTTGTCTTGGACGCCCAACCAACCAAGGGTGGCAGATTTCTATTTTTCTTGCTGATGTCTGGTGGATGCTTAATTTAGGATTGAACTGCGGTTTTCCCAACAGCTTGATGAATCGACGGTTCAACACAATGTTCTTCAAGTTCATAAGATGCACAAGCACGTTTCTATGATCTTCGTAGTATTATGTCTTTCAACTTTCGTACTGTTGCAAAACGTGTGAATAATCTGTCTCCTTTTCCTACCAAAACTAATTCCATAGTCCCTATGTACAGTTGTCACTTGTCACGTGTGATAGGAAGTAAGTGAACCTCGTAGAGCTTAAGTGAAAGCGACAATTTTGCTATTTAAGCACAAATATCTTGCAGCATGGCAGGTGAAATAATTTGGCAATGAACAGAAAAGTACATGTACAAATCAAGTGACTTCGCAGAATGGGGTATCAAGGATGACAATCTATAATGACTTTGGAAGAACACCCAGACCAATCTCTGGAATCAACGGCAGGGCATGAGAGCCCACTTTCTGGTCATAAACTGAAAAGAATGTCACAACTATGTTCTGCAAAATTGCTTCAAGAAGAAACTAGATTATATTACCTTCTGTTGTAACCTTCGCCTTTGATACCCTTCCTTTGGTGTTTTCTCTAATAGTCCTGTAACTGAATGAGCAGTTATCTTAAGAACTTAAATGAGCAGTTAAACGAAGTGAACATTCAGCCAGTTTAATCGAACAGTAAGCCAACACAGATATGTAGAATTTCTTTCAGGAAGAATATGATGCAAGGAATGAAAGCATAAATCGATGAGACCTCATAATGCACACGAAATCCTAACCGTGAAGCAACCAGGACTGTCTTGATCATGCCATCTTTGCTTGAGTCAACTTTCAGCTAAATCAAGGTGGCTCTGGACTTCTCAGTAGGTGATATGCATAAACTTCAGTACTCCTCTTGGTAAGATATACTCCCTCTGTTACCTTTTATAAGACCTTTTAGGTCACTACTTACATAGGGAGTACGTATGGAACATGGAAACAAGGGCGATAGCCAAACCATCTTGCTCAGAATTATTCGCAATGTATATAGACGCATGCGAGGGCAGGCCTGGCGCAGTGGTGAAGTCCTCCCCACTTGTGCCAAGAGGTCCTGGGTTCGAACCAGCCTCTCTGCATTGCACTTTGCAGGGGTAAGACTAGGTTCCTATAATCCCTCCCCAGACCCCACCTTGTGTGGGAGCTTCTATGCACTGGGTCTGTCCTGTATATAGACGCATGCAAGCATTTTTTTTGGCATTTCTATTTACAGCACAGGCAAGGAACGTGCCTCTCCAATTCAATGTAGACAAAATTCAATTGGTTCCACAATCCAAATCTACGAAACATTGTTCCTAGACAAAGTACAACGACTCCTATCCACATCAAACTCAATACAGTTAACTTTCAGCAGCAGCACCTCATGCAGAATTTAAAGATTAACAGGACGTGAAGTGAATCTTCTAGAGTTTTGAATGTGTACAAAATGTGTGGGCAATCTATTTTTCTTCTTTTCTACCAAAATTGAGTTCACAGTCCCTGTGTACAGTTTCACATGTGTAACAGGAAGTGTAAGTGAATCTCCTAGAGTTGAACACAGAACTATAAATCACTATAGTTTACAAAGCTCAAGTCTCGTATTATAGCCAGGACTGTCTTGATCATGCCATAAATATGGCTTCACAATAAACACGAGAGAATCTGACAAAAGGCTATATTAGGGCAACATGGCTTGGATAAAAGTTCTCAGAACATTGGATAAACTGAAATGTTAGAACCCTCTGAGAGCTCTTTGAAGTCAATGACAGTCAGTGAAGAGTGCAAGAGACACTTTTCATCATACACTGAAAAGATTCGCACCTATATTCTGCAGAATAACTCCAAGTTGGTTCATAGTATCTTTAGTAATCCAGTCAAATATTGAATTTCATCCTTCCTTGGCTTTGGTGTCCTGTCTTTGTTGTTCCCTCTAGGTCAGTCCTGTAACTGAACAAGTAAATCATCTCAAGATATTGAATGAGCGGTCAAACCAAGTGAATGACATTTGGACAGTTTGAGCGAAAAAGTAACCAAGAATGCTGAATTTCCTCAAAAAAGAACATAATGCATCTTGAAGTGTGAGTAGGGAAAAAGGACGAAGGATAGAAGGCATCAAAATGAAACAGCAAGTCCTAACTGGGAAGTAGACAGGACAATCTTTTTTTTTAGAAGTAGCAGACAGGATTATCTTGATCTTGCCTTCTTTGCTTCAGTCAAACTCCCAGCAAAACCAAGGTGACAACAACCTTCTCGGTAAGCACACAAATCAAGTTCAGTCCCTCCTCAGTGTCATACCAAATACGAATATAGGAAATATGTAAGAACATGGAAAGGGAAAGAAGAATAACAACCAAAGCATCTTCCCAATAAACATTTGCAAAGTCAAAACACAAACAAGCATTTTTTTTTCTTGAACTTCTGTATCAAGCATAGGAACAAAACATGCATCTCCATTTCAATGCACACAAAATTCAGTTGGATTCAGACTCCAAAATCTACGAGTCATTCTTCCTACAGAATAGAAACAGAACCTATCCACACAATCATAACACATTTTTAACTCTTAAACTTAGCAAGCAGTAACTCATGCAGAGTATTTCTTCAGAGCTCTATCCAGCCTGACATCAAAGGGAGTCGAGTACGGCTTCAGTTTTCTATCCTGCAACAGATAATTAAAGATAAGTACATCATTCGAGAATATCGATAACTATATTACCTCATTGACTTCCATGTTTACTGTACCTCTCTGTATTTGCTTGTTGTGTTGGGGATTCCATTAGATCCTGAATCAACTCTAGAAGAACCATTCGCACCACCCTTGTTGCCGGAAGAAGACTGGGCACTGGCAACTCTAGAAGAACCGTTCGCACTACCCTGTTCCTCCTCACACTTGTTGTCGGAAGAAGACTGGGCACTGGCCCTCCCCTTTGGCAATTCAGACTCTACTGCTTTTTTGGTTCCTTTGACTTCTCTATCCTCACCCCCATTCACCACGGTCGCAACTGGCAGATTCCCTGCCAGCTCTCTTGGCACAGGCAATTCATTTTCCTTTTCTACCACCATGTTGCCTTCCTCAGGAAGGTTATTCTTTGCACTAGTCCTTCCAACCCTTCCTCGCCCCCTTCCAGACCTCATCACTGCCACCACATCCTTTTTCCCGGCGACACGGCGCTTCACCACAGCAGCCCTCTTCCGCTCCCCACGGCACGTCACCATGGTTGCATCCTCATCATTCTCTAGTTCAGGGTGCTCCATGGCTTTCTGCCCCCCCTGGTGAGACGCTTCTGTAGCCTCCTCCATCTCTTCAGTGGGCTCGGCTGCAGCCGCATAAGAGATATTGTTAGCAGCAAGCTTAACGGCCCTCCTCTTTGGTAATTTCTCCTCCAACGCCTTTGCAGTTCTTTTGACCTCTCCATCCACAGCTGCTGCCTTATCCCCCTTCTTCACCGTCGTCGAAGTCAATGGCTTCCCTGTGCGTGCTCTTGACGCACTCAACTTATTTCCCCCCTGCTCCTCCTCCTCCTCAAGAACTGTGTTCATTGCACTGGCCCTTGTAGGCCTTCCCCGGCCCCTTGCAGACTTCCTCTTTGGAGGCAGTGATACAGGAGCAACTGCCGCCTCATTCTTCTTCGTTGCGCCATGGTGGATCACCACTGGGGCTTTGTCCTCCTTCTCTTTCTTCTCTGGTTCATGAGGTTCCATGTTCTTCTTCCGCCTCCCGCGACGTGTCACCACCATGGTCTCCTCCTCCTCGTCCTTCTCTGGTTCATGAGGTTCAACGGCCTTCTTCCGCCTCCCTCGGAGCGTTGCATCCACAGCCTCCTCCATCTCTTCAATGGGCGCTGCAGCCGCATTGGCACCATTATCGAAAGCGGAAAGCCGAGCACTGGCCCTCCCCTTCGGCACTTTCTCCTCCAATGAAACTGCAGCCCCTTCTACGTCTCCATCCCCAGATGCCACCTTATCCCTCTTCTGCGCCTTAGCACCCTTCAATGTCGTCGAAACGAGCAGGTCCTCAGGACGAACTCTTGATACAGCCAACTCATTTCCTCCCTGCTCTTCCACATCCTCAAGAACCATGTCGCTTGCATTAGCCTTTTTGCCACGGCCCCTTACTGACCTCATCTTTGGAGGCAATTGCGGAGGGGCGTCCGTCACCACACTCTTCTTCCTCCCTCTGCGGTTTGTCACCACCGGGGCTTCCTCCTCCTCTTCCTTCTCCGGTTTAGGGGGCTCCACAACATTCTTCTGCCTGCCACGGCGCGTCACCACTGTGGCCTCTTCCTCCTTTTCCTTCTCTGGTTCAGGGAGCTGCACAACATTCTTCTGCCTGCCACGGCGTGTCACCACTGTGGCCTCCTCTTCCTTCTCTGGTTCAGAGGGCTCCGCAACATTCTTCTGCCTGCCACTGCGTGTCACCGCCGTGGCCTCCTCCTCTTCCTTCTCTGGTT